ACAATGGGGTCTAGGAGTATGTATAGAACATTGGGGTCTAGGAGTCTCCCCTGCTTCAAAACCATCTTTAGAGCTCCTTTACACAATAATAGGAGTGCATTGACGATTTTTTCTTAACTCGCAAAAATCTTCAAACAATTTGCTACCGATTGGTGATAAAATTTTTTGGAAATCATGAAATAGGGGGGATAACGAAAATCGAAATGATTTAGGAATACACGGTGTACCTATCGCTTCGGTTAACCTTGGTGCGGCAAGGTCAGGTTTTTATTAACCCCTTGAACAGAGCATATGGCTCGACCTTCCCACCCAATAGAGGGGAGTGAATTCGGGAGGTGTATATTAGGTTTTTTCCGTTCGTTCGCAATCTTGATGGGAATAGAGGTAAAAAACTTGTTTTCGGTATCTCTTGGGTAGTTAGCCGACCTCATCGTGGAGGATTTGGTTCATTTATCTCGGGTAGAATCTGTCAATGGCCAGAGGAGATTCGAGCTACACCCTTCTTGAGAGCAAAACGTGTGGGATTCACTCGAAAGGGTAATAAATCGGTGGAGAAGCAACGAAAAGTCTTCAACAACGTAGCGGATTCACCGATGAGTTACGATAGCAATCCATTGTTGATTGCCAAAGGGGCAGATATATTTTTATATATGATTTTATATATAATTTTCATTTTTTCAAAATTTTTATCCAATCACCAAATTTTCTGAAAAAAAATTGAGGCGTGGATTTGCTTATATTAGAATACTTATACGCAATTTATTTATTCAAAAAGAAAAGAAAGCTTCTAGTTTCCTACAAAAATATTTGAGATTGAAGAATAACCTAGTTGTTGATGCATCAATAAACATCAACCACTACCAACAAACATTAAAATATACCAACCTGCCACCCATCGCGATGAATCTAACCAAAATAAGCAGCTTCACAGCTGGAATACCACAATTCGCCACTAGATGGCTAAAACCTTCCGCAACTGAAACGCTCACGTAAACTGAATTACCCCGATCAAAAATCATGCATCCTAACCGAGACCATTGGAATCACCCCCACCCCCCTGAATTCCGCTTCAACCCAATTTCACGGTGACACACATCCCAATGCACCGCGATGCGTTAATTACACAACGCTTCACCAACGTCTACATACTCACCGTTTATCCGATGAGCGCCTGACGCAAATGATTTGACACCCTCAAGTATAGCAATTTCCGCATCAAACTTTATCAACTCCTTCTCTCAAAACTTGTTAATTGCACGACGCAATGAAGACAGGGTGGAAAACAATGGCACTCGACAATGTTGGCATCGATAAATGACAATTCTGGGAAACATTGGCCTGGATTTCGTTGGCGTGCCAACACTAGTCGCCATTCGTGTTAATTGAAGTTCGTTCAACAATCGCCGTGCCATTGAACACAATCGCACGGTGTACGATAATCGGTGACATGGAATTGGTATAATTGCATTATCTCGGATGCCACTAAGCTAGACTTTAAATACCCCTTCGTTTCCATTAGGTGTAATGGGTGTGCCGTTAATTATTCGAGATGTGTTTGGTCTGTACAATTTTTATTTTGCGTGGATATCTCCGGAAATTATGGGTATGAAAAGAGAAGGCGAGAGATCTTTTCAGGAGATTAAAAAAAATCCGCGAGGAGATTGTGGATGCACTGAGAGAAAAACAAACACGTTGTCAAATAAATCTTGTTTGGGCCAACAAAATCGCCTTTTCAGAATGAAAATATCTCATATAGAGGAAAATTTATCAACAAATATTTTATCCCTATGTTACAAGATTGCTATCATATTATTATTATTGTTTCATTTGTTGTCTGTGATTATTAGACAGCTGAAACGAAAAACTACTATCCCTTGCTTCGCGTAAAACAAAGATTTTTCGGGAGCAAAATACGTATGGGAGTATCGAATAACGAAGGAGTAGAGCAAGAAATTATATTTTTGCACTCGTTACGAAATATACTATTCTTGCGTATACAGAGAATGCAATTTTTTTCTGAACTACTACATCTATTTTTGCGACAAACTCTCTGCATTTCGACGCACCCTCTGCTTATTTGGCACAAAACAATCCTTTTTTGATCATTTTCAAAAGACTATTTTCTTGGCACAAGTAAAACTTGTTTGAGAACTTTGTCGTTTTTCTCTCAGTTTAAGAAATTCTTATCAAGTGACAGTTCCTCTGAAATTCCATGGAATTTTCTCCTTAACAAATATTGAATATCGTATGGGTCAATTACTGAACTCCCGATATCGATGAATTCTCGAGTGAGTGACCCTAGCGTCCTACCAGGGCTCTAAAAACCTCTCAAACACTGGGCATAAACGAGGGATCTGATTCCTGGCTTTTACTTTCCCCATGAGACCGAGCATTTCCGCAATTTAGCCTCGAAAAACTCATCCTTTCTGCTCTCCCCTTTGCGTTAGAGGGTTCATAACTACACGTGTGATACTAGACTGTCGTCAGACAACATCGCCCACGCGATGGCTCAAGCGTAGGAGCCACACATGTATCCCCAGAGTCATCCCCCTTTCAGCAGCTCTAGTGCAAAAAGCTTTTCCCCATCGAGCTCCATAAACTTGCACGATCCCCTGGGCATCGGCTGCGCAAGGCACTTCCTCGTTACTCGAGCGAGCTGGTGGACATTGCACGTGGTCGAGTGTAATACAAACGGGTCGAAGTTCGTGGGTAATTGAAGATCACATTGCGACAATTAGTACAGTAATTAGTGCAACAGAAAATTTTACATCCGTTTTGATTTATTTTCCAATAAATCAGTCGCCTCCGAGTGTTTCATTAGCATCAGAATCGTTAGTAGATATAAAATCAACGTTCACTCCGCGAAAAAATTCGATTTTGTCGAAAGTCGACTTTACCCGTGAAAAAATTCAAGATCTGACACTTTAGCCTCAAGTGAAAATTTTTTTTTTCATTTTTTACTTTTCCCACATACTGTTGAGAGTTCTGGATAGCCCGTCCCTTAAATAACCGGAATCCACTTTCACTCGGCGGAAAAAATCGATTTTGCCGAAAGTTGACTTTTCCCCTGAAAAAATCCAAGATCTGACACCCTGGACTTTTTGGATTGTACTGGGTCGATATAACACAAAAAAACCAAAACTGTAATTTGAACAATTACAAAGCTTCCATTGGGAAGCAAGAAAACTCGCAATCTCTTATTTTCCACTTGAGTTCAGCGAAATGTTCATCTCCTCCGGAAATTTAAACCAAATCAACATATTCTCTTGCATCGTAAATACATTACAAATAATAGCATGGAATCATAATAGTCCCCATCTAACCTGTAGAATGAATCCCCTAATTGCCACTTAATTGCTTATCGGATAAATGCCATAATTTACGATTCAGTCAGCCTGTTACAGATGAGAAAATCTGATCCGCAAATAGAGAATGAGAAGGGGAAAAATTCTGATGCGTTGGGGGAAATTAGTCATTCTATTATCAGACTTGAAATTCTGATATCCTTCTCTCTCTTTCTCGCTATCGGATATATCTCTCGTTTCGTGCCTCGAGGCACTGGACGGAAGAAAACAAACACTCGTTAACGAGACGCATCAGGGCAGATTGGAGAGATTTCCTGCCGCGGTTTAACCGGGCCGCTCTTTTGCCTCATGGTGCCCTGGCTCAACCGGGGCCAGAGGTTAATTTATCGCATTAAGTGTCCTACAATTGCGTTACAACGTCCGAGTCATCACGAGTTTTTCGTTGGACTCCAGTCAGTGCGACTGCGACTCTCCCAACGTGATGGGATTACAGAATAAATTAATCGCTAACAGTGCACGGAGATAAATTTTTGATGAAAATTATCCTAGCGTACTATAGAAATGTATCATGAGTCATCGTTTCCTCATTTCATCCCGAACATTTACGCCCGCCAATGAACCAAATAAATCTTCTGTTGATCCGGATACTACGAAAACGCGGAAATGAGACATTTCATTCGAAACACAACAGAGAATCAGGAAATACGAAACAACGTCTAATATTCGTGAACAATTTTTTCTTAAAATTGTTCCATCTCATAAAGCCTCCCAATACTTTTTTCTCAACATACTATCAACACCGATGTAAATCAATCTGAGACCTGAGGAACGCGAATTCATTCCCCTCGCATTCCAAATGTTCCAATAATTTTTTCCTCCATCTTTACCATCTCATTAGCACCAAACATATGTTATTACCAATCTGCGTGTAACATGTCATTCTCCCTGGGATAATTGGCAATCCTCATCTCATCGTAAATTGTAGGAAATTTTCCAGAAACGCATGATTTATATTTTTCATGTCAGTCATGCTGATGTAAAGTTGCGTGTCGAGTAGCGACGGAGTCACGCGGTAGAAGTACAAATGATAAATAGTTCTGAAATTGAGGAACAGTCTTCTGTGAGTCTTCAATACCCGAGTAACTCATCTGTATCCTTCCGTGTCGGAAGAGAGAAAAATTGTTTGCGTGAAGTTTTCAATGAGACGAACGTAAAAATGTTGTTAACAAAATACTGGAGCATTGATTTGCTCCTGGGTTTCGGGGTTCTAGTGGTCCTGGCATATCTATACATGGGCAGAAGATTCAACTACTGGAAAAAACAGGGAGTGATGCAACCGGAGCCGACCCCCTTCATTGGCAACTTTGGCGACTGTCTGAAGATGAAGAAGAGCGCTGGAGAGTGGCTGCAGGATCTGTACAACTGGGGCGCTGGTCTCCCTTACATCGGGTTCTACGTCTTTGACCAGCCGTTCTTGCTCGCTCGCGATCCCGAGTTGATCAAGAATATCCTCGTGAAGGACTTCAACTACTTCCAGGACAGGTTCGTCCAGACGAGCCCCGAGGATCGTCTGGGGGACGCCAATCTGTTTCTCATTAAGAATCCAGCGTGGAAGTACCTGAGGTCCAAGATCACGCCGATCTACACGTCTGGGAGGCTGAAGAAGATGTTCGACCTGATGACGGAAGTCGCTGATGACCTTGATACGCATATGGCGACGCTCCCTTGGAATGGTTGGTAGATAATTGGGTGGATAATGTTCATTGTCGGGTGTTTTTTTGGAATTTCGAAGGAGAATTCGGCAACAGGATTTTTGACAAATCGTTTTATCACTATATGGCTTATTTACTTGGGATTTTTGGGGACAGGTGAAATTCAGTGAGTGAAACGTATGAAATTCAGTGATTTTACCAGCAATTTTCCACTTGTTTGTCTCTGTCTGGATTACCCACACGGAAAAATTTATATTTTGAAAAATATATTGAAAAATACCTTAAATTGGCCAAATTTGCCTTAAAAAAATTAAATATATATAAATATAATGGATGTATATTTCGATATAAATATATATCAATATATATAAAATATATGTTTTAATATATATTTTCATATATTCTTTATAAATTTGAAAAAAATATGAGATTGGCCCATATTATATATTTTTTTTAAAATAAATTTTTTGATGGGGGTAATTTTTCAGGGGATAGTATCACCATGGAGCTCAAAGAACTCTGCGCCAAGTACACGACAGATCTAATCGCCACCACCGCCTTCGGCCTCAAAGTCAACTCCCTCAACAATCCGGACGCGGAATTCCGGAAACGTGGACGCGAAATATTCAACTTCACTTTTTTCAGAAATATCGAAGTGACGAGTATGTTTTTCGCTCCGCACCTGGCTAAGCCACTCAAGTTCAAGTTCTTCTCGCCGGATAATTCAAACTTCCTGAGAACAGCGGTATGGGATACACTCAACGAGAGGGAACGCTCGGGGACCAAGAGGGGCGATCTCATTGATCTGCTTCTCGAGTTGAAGAAGACTCAGACACCCGGGCCTGAGAAAGAATTGTTCGGTACTGTCATCTCTTCGTTTTTCAAATACTTCAATTCAGTTTTAGTTACGCAATCACTCTGCATTTACCTGCGAGTCATGTTATGTACGGGAAAAAATTCAATGGAAATACTCGGAACGCTTGCTAGAAACATCTATTGAGATCAGTTTTTTCCAATTTCTTCTCCACGTGGACTCCATCAAAATATTCTATAGAAAAATATCAATATATCCCAATTTCTCCATTAAATCTCCTCTATTGGTATTTTTAATTACGATTTTACTGCGTTTTTTTCATCCAATTACATTCTAGACATTTAGACATCTTCACAATCTTAATCACAATTGAATAAAATTAATTTTTGAACTAGTTAATTACTTGATATTACTAACTGATTTTTCAATTATTGAAGTAATTATCAAATAAATTATTCGAATTCCGGACGATTTTATCGATCAGCATTCTTTTATGAAATTTATAATTATTTATACAATAGACAATTGACAATTCCATATCATAGATTATTTAATTCATAGTCAATAAAAAAATGAGATTATCAATTCTTTTATGTAACAATTCCTTCTTCCAGCTTGACTCTGTCAATTGTTAAATTTCAGATTTCGATGGAGATAATGTAGTGGCTCAAGCAGCAGTATTTTTCACTGCTGGCTATGAGACGTCAGGAACAACTCTGAGCTTTACACTTTATGAATTAGCTGTTCATCAAGATGTGCAAACAAAAGCGAGAACTGAAATTCTAACAGCGCTTCAGAAGACCAAGGGAGAGATAACGTATGATATGGTAAGAATACAAACTCATTAAATAAATATAATCAAAACCAATGGAATTGAGCAATTAATATCTCATTTCTTAGATTCATCAGCTAATTTTTGAACATATCTTGTGAATAATTGTGAAACGAACGTTGAATTGGTAAATCGTAAACCGGGTCAAGTACATGTTAACTTTTGGCCAGTTTTTGATTAATATCTCGTAATCTAAGAGAGACAGCAAAATTTTTCTCATGACCTTTTTTGTGACCCTCAATTGGCTCTACAAAAAAGGTCGTGACAAAAGTTTTCCTATCTCCTTTAGATTCCGAGATATTAATCAAAAACTGGCTAAATTCAAAATTGACATGATTCGGTTTACCGCTTCGCAACTGAATACATTCACTGATTCTCGAATTGTTCCTTCGAAGGTATTGGATTTAGCATATTTAGACATGGTTGTCTCCGAGACCCTCCGGAAGTACCCGCCACTACCAGTGCTAGATCGAGTGGCGTCGCAGGATTACAAAGTTCCAAACTCTAAGTTAGTTCTAAAAAAAGGAACCCCCGTTTATATCTCCGTATTTGGAACTCACTACGACCCTCAGTATTTCCCTAACCCCCTAAAATATGACCCCGAGCGGTTCACCGCGGAGAATAAGAAAGCGAGACCTTCTGGAGTTTATCTGCCCTTCGGCGATGGTCCTCATGCTTGTATTGGTAAATTTATCGATCATTTGTCCGAATTAATCCGCATGCGATTGCCGGACTCACGTAATTTCACATTCTAGGTCTGAGAATTGGTCTTCTACAAGTGAAGCTGGGTCTCATCGAATTACTGAGGAAATTCGAATTTTCGCCATGTGCGCAAACCCTCATTCCCATGCGACTGAACCCGAAAGCACTGATCACAGCAGCAGACGGTGGAATTTTCTTGAATGTGCGAAAGATCTCAGCAAATTAATGTAAAGAATTAGGGATGAGAGAATTATTAATTTGTTAACTGTGTGGACTAAAGTATTCAATAAAAAGGATGAACATGGATGAAAATATTGAAGGTTATTGTCATTTGGAGGCGTTTCAATTTCAGAATAATTCGAATCATATACGCTGTTGGAAAAAAAATCGATTTAGAGGGGAGTAAAATTTAGAATCGCGCAGAAAGATGAGAATTCCGTAACTTCTTCGAATTTACAATAAAAACACGAATATTCTGAACACAATCACGCTGAATAATCTAATTTTTCCGATTTCTATTGATTTTCGTAATATAATTGAACTGATTTTTTTTTCATTGATTTTTTCATTAAATTGCGCATTTTCGTCGACAAATCATGATGTGTGACTTCACTCTGAAGTTATGACATAACTCAACAACTTCTCAAGCATAAGCAATAGCGCCAATTTGATTTTTTTCCCTCGACGTTCGATTGAAATTCTCCATCGCGATGCACAACACTACAGTATCAACGAATCCATCGAGTAGATTGGAGATGCGTCGGGATAGGAATAATAGGCGCACAGTCGGGTGAATTCTATTTTTATGTACCGAGTGAAGAGAACAGAGGGTGACTATTCAAAGAGAGATGAGGGCGTGGAGATCGAGGTCGAGATGCGAGTTGAGGATTTCACCCGAATCGAATTATCGATTCCACCCAGACTCGGGCACTTCAGACTCCATCAGCCATTTTACCTCCTTCCAAATGCCTCTTGTTGCTTCACGATGGAAAACTCCGGGCTGATTCGTCGAGAATAGAGCCCGGGATTCCCGATGGGATTTCTCGTGTCCCAGTGGTATGTAAACGCTTCCAAATTCCCGACAACTGATGGCTGTTGTTGAAAGGAGAGTCGGGGTGAATGACCGGGTATGTAAACTGCCAGAGCATCAGTGCGAGGGGATGCGGCGTCTTTTAACCATATTGGGAATTAATCCTGGGTTGATCACTACGTGAGGGAAAGCCCCGCCGCGCGTCCCTTTTCTTTAATTACAATTCTGTAGTGAAGTGCAGTTTTTTGGAAAAAATTTCTATTGCTTGAGTCGAATGTTGTAAACGCACGGAGAGAAATATTCAGTAAAAATTCACGTAATCCGCAATGGGGAATCGCTTTCCGGCAATTTTTATAGGAATGGAAGAGAAGAAATCTGAAACGTTCAGTGAATTTTCAGATTCATCACCGAACAAAGTACGAAATTGTCACGTAATTTTTCCCGAAGAAGTTAAATCTTACAGAAAATTGGCGACTTATTATGCCTCCAAAATTAAAAATTCTTGAACGTTCAACAATTTTTATGAAGCTGGTGAGTTATTTCTGCGTTCCGTTCTGTAAAATTTCTCAATCGTTGGGGAAAAATTACGGAATGACTTTCCCCACAGCGGAGAGTCATCAGACGGCTTGCGGATTACGTTTTGAAACGTCATTTTTACGTTTTTATCTGGCAATTTTTATTGAATTTTTCTCTCCGGGCGGAGAAATTCAAAACAAATTTGACTTTGTCAATTGAAATGTCTAAAGAATTATAGCACTGGAAATCGAGGTTGCCCCACGATTACTTGACTCATTTCGTAATTTATCTCCAGCTTTTTTCTCCGTGCATCAACAAAACAGTCTGCGAATTCATTTGCTCCAGGAATAAAAGCACCTCCCCTCAATCAATGTTGATTGCGCTTTCCAAAGTAGTTCTCTGAAGGCACTATCGCTGTTCCCTGGGCAGTATGTCCGATAAAATCGAGTGGATAATTGAACGATACTCCATTGTTTCCGCGAGATCGTCCGAGACGTATCGAATAGCCTTACTCCATTCATCCATCCTTCAACAATATGTGAAAATACATGGGGCGAGGATAAATGGTCCCTTTCATTCCAGCATTCACGGTACTTCACCTGTGCACACCGAGTGAAGTGTGTAAATTGGAGTGTGGGACATTGTTGGAGAGGTTTTCACCATATCTCACCCGAAGAATTTCGGTAATGCTCGCTAATTGATTTCTTGATGTGCAATTGAGTGATTTCTTTAAAAAATATTTTCCACTGAAAGCAACCTCTCAGAACTCGAGGATTGAGGAAAGTCGTTACAAGAAGAAAAATACCATGCCACAAACAATTAGAATGGGTTCTTCGAGGTGTTGACTCGAAGATGTGAAGAGGACAGATTTTTCATTAACATTAAACATATTTAATTATCTAATTCAATTACCGGTCCAATACCGCCAACCTTGTTTTGATGACTTTTTTTAGCAATGCAGACTAACTGTTATAATTTTTCCTATTTTCATCCTTCGTTTCCATTCTTTGGCTCCATTTTGAGAAGGATTTCACGTGAATAATAATAAATTAGCCTGAATTTACCCGATGCTCCAGTGGCCACTGACTACCCCAAACAATCGAGCTGTCACTCGACGGCCCTCTAGCTGCAGAGTCTAGCAGCCCTATAGAAACCCTGGGCGTCATGACCCACAAACTCTGGGCGGAATTACCCACAAACGCGGAGGCTGATACAATAGCCAATAATAACTGATGAAGATATTTTTCTGCTATCGAAAAGGTCGCAATGCGTGTGGAAATGTATAACGGACATATATTTCGCACTCCCTTCAATTATGGGCCAACCGAAAATTTGAAAAATCTTAAATTCCGAGGTCGAAATATTTCAAGAATTCGGTAGGAAACGATTTGGATTTTTTTTAACGTTCTGATGACGTTGTTTTTTTACCAAAACTCTTTCATTGCCTTTCGAGGGTGGAAATACTCTCGAAGGCACTCTGAATTTCCACGGGGTTCCCTCGACAGAACTTTCTAAAATTATCCAGAAGTGAGTATCCCGGAAGTGTCGTGGGATACACACGGTGCTATCTCCGTCCCGGTTAAACGGAAACACTACTTAGTATCGAAGTCCCACGAGTGACTGTGAGACAGTGTGGGGGATATCAAAGTGAGAAGATTTCAGGCATTAGGGAAGTAGCAGAGACACAGCACAGCGTAAACTCGAGCGACTGGGAAGACCCTCGAAGCCCGAAGTTTCGGATCGTTTGAAATCTCCGAGGCCCTCTTTTCTCGGAGTCGTTGGAATTGCAATGAGTTGAGAGTCTCTTGTACTTTAATTGGAGAACTAATTATTCAGATTGGAAAGACAATTGTCGTGAGTTGCGGATAACTGAAGGGGGGATTTTTTAATGAATAATTGACTGTAGTCATAATATTTGACAAATATAATTGAACCGGTAATATTTATGTTATGATATTTAATATGACTGAAATTCATGAATTTTTTGCTTCCGAATGGATTCCACATAAGAATATTTGATGCAGTGGAACAGATTTACTGGAGACAAATTTAACAACTTGATAGAAGGAAATTTAATCTCTTCCACAAAAATTCTCTGTAGAACTAATGTATTTACCCGAAATTCCGATTTATTCCCGTCATAAATTCCCGTCATTATTCACGGACAAAATAAAAACGTAAATTATACCTAAACAAGCGTATTTTACGTTTATTAAAACGTAAATTACATTTATCAAAAATATGAAAAAAATAATCTTAATTTACGTTTAGGTTTTTCTGTGTGCAAAAACATTCTCGTAATGTCTTTTTAATTCGCTATTTAAGTCATTCAATCAACAATAAAAAAAAAAAAGTCATTCAATCACCGAGACAACCCACTAATTTCCGAAACAAACAAATGAGGAATGAAGAAAAAAAATAAAATCACGGAAAAAATACTTGATTCAAGTATATTTTAACTCAATTATACTCAATTCAAGTTTTTTTTTTTCCGTGATCGACTCACTCAAGGATATCCCCCAGCATTCCCCAGTGACCGACGTATTGTCCTGCTTGATACGGTAACGGTATTTGCGGAACACTCGAGTGGAAGCCCAGTGTACAGGGAATTCGCTCGTATCCAAGTGGCTTCTTCGGAATAAGCTGCCTGGTAGCAGCATATGCGCACAATTCCTGGAAGCGCCCCGGCGAAAATGCTGGATCCACTGCACCTGGCGAGTGGAGGTCAGCCGAGAAAAGGGGAGTATCTACGCGGAGATGAATTCTCGGACGAGAAGCGATTCCAACGGGCACTTCCACAAAATGGGATGATGAAGGGGATGAGGGAGGGGGCGGACTCGTGTTCCCGGCTCGTGAACATCTCGAGAGTGCTGGCGATAGTGTCCTCATGTTTTCGAGGATCAAGTTGCACTGGAGCAGCCGGAGGACCTCTTGAGTCTGTGTTAGTGGACCCGACTGATATATTTGGCTCTTCATACGCAATTAATTTATCCTTTGATATATTTCGGGGATTGTGGGGGAAGGGGAGAGGAGCTTGAACTTTACGAGAATAGCAGGTTGTAAGGGTCTCTGAAATGAAGGAGATTTGGGGAATTTTTCTGAAGAACTTGGGTCTACTTGAGGTCCTGCATCCAGGGAAGTGATTTATTTGAATCAAATGAACTTTATTTAAATAGCACGAAATAACGTCTTCATTCAAATTGAAAGCTCTTCTTTATTGGAGACTCTGGTTGTATTAAATGAATGATTTTTTCGGTAGTAATAAAGCTACCGGAGACCACAGCGTTGACGTGGCTGGTCTACTTGAGAGATTCCATAAATTCCGAAACGGGAAAAACTGGGATCATTATCCCAGGCGGACAAATGGCCTGCCATTTAGGTGATTCTAATCATTTATTATCACTCAGACATTGACGTTCCAATATTTTGAGGAGCAAAAAGACGAGAATTCTTCAACTTATTTGAATTTTTAATCAATACATGATGTTGAAATTGGGTAATTTTCCACAGCAATTGATTGATTTTAAATCAATGAACAATTCAAGGATATATTTATTTAATTTTATTAATTTCCATGGAATTATTCAACTGGAGTTTACTGTTTCCATTAATTTTTCCGTCAATTGTTAATTTTCAATGACGAAATTTCAGTAAAATTGTCACTTCATAAAAATTACCAACAAGTGTGCCGAGAGTTTCAGGCAAAAATTTTCAACAACGGATTGATTTTTCCTGTGTTAATTAACAGATAAAAATCCCCAGGTAAAATTAGAAAACTATTTTCTTGGAAATGTCATCAGTTTCTAAAAAAAAAGCCAAAGCCACTTCCTCGTAAAATCCTTTATTTTCGCAATCTATTTAAGTTTCAAGGAGTTGAAGATTGAATAGAAAGTAATATTTTTTCAATCACTTTCGAAATTCCCTATCACATCCTAAATCGAAATATGCGACCGTCTAAAATTCAATCTTCTTCGTCAACAATTTTCCTCGAAACACTAAAAAACTTTCCTTTGGGAGCGGACGGTATCGACTAACTCGTGAAAGAAATCCGACGTGAACTGATAAAAACAAAAAGTCGAGCGGAAAAATTCCATCCCAGTTTTTCCCGTTTCGGAATTTATGGAATCTCTCAAGTAGACCAGCCACGTCAACGCTGTGGTCTCCGGTTGTGTGGACCTGTAGCCAATTCTAAGGCCGTGATGTAGATTCTGGGGAAGAAAGCAGACAGAGGAAACACAAATTCTCGGATGAAGAATATTCGCTTGAATTTCCAATAAAAATATGAATATTAACGAGCAAATGTCGCTTTCAAATTTCAATTCGCTGACTTTCTGATTTTTATCAATTTGTGTGGAATAATTGAACTAAAATCCACGGTCTCCAGTGATTTTTCATCAAAGTATATATTTTTAATGACGAAATTCCTTGAAATTTCAGAATAATTATGACTAAATTTTTATAAAGTGTACCGGAACTTTCAGGCAATGACTTTTTAGACTTTTTTTTTAATTGGAGAAATTCTTGTAATTTTTTCTAGAGCAGAAAACGAGGTACTGGAGACGGAGTTTAGCGTCGCGCGGCGGCAGTTAGTGAAGCTAGTCTAGCTAGACAATTTGTTACTTCCTTATCACTCAACTGTGAGCGTTTCTCGCCTCTTTCTTTCTCACTCACAGCAGCTTCGCCTCGCGCACCAACTGGGATCGGAGGCGAGAATTATCGGGTTTGTGGACGAGGAAATGATCATTGACCCATGAATCATGGGATTTATCCGACAAACATATGTAAACGAGTGGAATATATCACGGTAGGTGCGATCGATGCGCCCGGGAAGCGACGGGGTGTCTGTTTCAGTAGAAAATGCCGTGAGAGGTCGGACAATGCTATCGCGGGAGCGGCTACTGATGCAGACGAACACCGGAAGTGTCGATTGCCTCGTGAGTGCTCCTCTTGTTGGGTTTAATGGCAATCTCAATGAACCATTCCTATCGCATTGGTTTGCAGATTGTTTTATGATCGTTTATTTGACGGTGCAAATAGTCGAGGACAAATGATCAACAATATTTCGGAAAATTTCATTGCTCACTGCTGGACATTGTGTGACATTGAATCGAATTTGGGGAAAAAATTCTTATGGAATTTCGAGTTTCATGTAAATTATTGGTTGTTAAAAATTCCAAGATTTTTTGACTTGAAATCTCAAGAGTAATTTTCTGAATTTTCACAGAGCAAATGAACTAAAAGATCAGGGATTTTATTGATTTCCAGATCATTTGACCAGAAAATCAATGGAATATTTGATTTTTCCTGCGCATCACACTGGGTCGATACAATACAAAAAATCCAAAACTTAAATTTGAAGGATTATAAAGGTTCCATTGCGCTCATCACGCCTCGAACTTCAATAAAACCGATTGAGTTCCAAAAAATCGTGGTATAAATGAATATTTATAGACAAGGCAAACAAGCAGTGAGCGCCAAATGATTCGATTTACCACTCCATCTCCGAAAAACCGGAAACGACGGGAAAAGTCAAGTTTACCTCGAGTAAATTCACTTGTCTTCGCGAGGAAGTCAAACAAACAAGATTAAAGTTGTAACTTTCTTGATTTAAACTTCGCATAGTTTCCTCTCGAGACCATTGTATTCAATTAAAACGTTTAGAGCTGATTTTTGGTGTTGAGTTTGCGAGGGGACGAGTGAATTCCATCAGCCAACGAGATCCCATCAACGACGGATTGCCGGGTCACTCGACTCTATTTATTTTCGTATTAAAAAATTGCGAATCGTTTGAGCGGAGTGGAAAGTCCGGACTTTGTTGTTGCGGTGAACCGATGTGAGTCCACAGCGAGCCCGCAGTACTGCACGTCCCATCAAAATTTTATTGCGCGTAAAACCCGAAGCTGTGCGTCAGGGCCAATTACCTGGGACGAACATCATCCTGGACGATATCCGGTGAAATTCTGTCGGTTATGTATTGTTGTTTGGGCGAAGGGTAGACGGGCAATAGCGGTGGGTTCACCCGGGGGATTGATAGAACGAGGAAATGTCGATTCTTTCGAATCTGCGGGGAATATCAAGAGTTGAATGAAATTGACAAAAAACGAGAAATTATGCATTTTTTTTTAATTCCTGTTTAAGGTGTTTCGGTTGAAAAGTCAAAATGATGGAAAAAAATTGGGGAATTCATGGGAGAAACACCTTAACAGAAATGTAATTCTCAATTTCTACCAATGGAAATTGCGTGATAATTTTATTTCAACTATTTTCTCCCCGTGTTATCCTGTGATTTCAAACGCAGGAAATTCTCAAAACTTCTTACTATCGATCCAATTACACAATCATTAGCTTGATTGACAAACCTCCGCACTCAAACTAATTAATGTATCAGGTTCGTCATAAAAAAAAATAACGCGATGCAATTTCTTTCGAAATCCATCACAAATACGACAATTTTTATGCAATCGTCGATGGAAAAATCCGTGAATTCACGAGCGCGGAGATGATGCGCATGCTAATGCAGCCTCGTGCTCTGCATCTGCGTTATGATAATTTCAATGGGCCATAACAGTCGTAAACAAGAAGCCGAGCCAGTCTCATTATGCCCACTCAACCGGATCATCTCTACTCAAATGATGATAAACGAGCGCGTATTCCTCTTTGCATTACTGGGTAATGGGTTCATATAATCGATTAAAAAAGCGCCTTAATCCAGTGGGTGATGAGTGGTTGAATACGTGGTGACAGGATTGTGCGGAGGGGAATAATTTATTTCGATTAGACAAAACGAACTCATTTGCATTCGTGTCGTTATGACAATCGACCGGCAGTTGCTAGAATTTTACGAGCGTTGTGATCATTTTTATTAATGTCTACTTCTGCTCGAGATGAATCAAACGAATTTATATAGAAAAAAATTTATTATACTATAGTTGCACTGAAATGTCAAGGAATGTAAAATGAAATTAAAGGATTCCAAAAATCGCTATTTGATACAAAATGGAAACTGCAAATTTTAAATTAATTATTACATGAAAATGAGCAATAGTCAGGAAAAATCGAGAGCATCATGAAAATAATATTCATGCTTCCATCCCATAATTCCTTCACAAAACCAACTAGATTCATTCAAATTATGGAAAACTGACTTATCAATCAATACTTTCTTTAAAAAAAAACATGGATGATTTTATTTTTCTATGGGTATCTAGTAACGAGGAAAACAGGAATTTTTTGCAATAAAATTTTCACTATCACCTCACTTGCTTCAAATATCTGAACTATATAGATTCCACACTGTTTTATGCAGTCAATCAACTATAAAAAAATTTAAATATCTAAGAATAAAAATTCTGTCCCCTTACAATTTCAGTCAGCCTATTATTTGCGACATAAAATCTGCAGACAGGATTTTTAAGCATGAAATTGCACTCTATAAAGATAAATAGAATAGAGCGGTTGAAAAATATGCGAGCGACAGGTTTTTTCCTCTGGAGAATTGGTAGATACCGTGAATACAAGCGATGAGAGAGTAAAAAATACATGAAACGAATGTTAAATTATTGTCAGTGCGACAGACGCTAGTGCCATGCATCACTGAAAAATTCCCGAGGGAGTACATCCTCGAGTATTCTTCCTTCTGAATTTTTTATTTCACATGCTGGACTCGTATTTTCCGCTCGATATGCGTCAATTCGAATGGAGACGGCTCGAATGGAGGATGGAAACGCTCTTTCCTGGGTTAGATGGTGCCTTTCATTTTGACTCATCTTGTTCAGCGTATTCCTATAAATCTCGAGTTCAGTTATTGGAGTGAGACATTGACGGGCGGCAATTCGAGTGGAATTGCCAATAAGACTGGGGTTGAGACGTCATCCGCAAGCACCTCATCTTTGATCCAAAAAATCAATGATTGTTTAACGTAAAAAAAACAATTTTCTTGAATTTTCAAGATGAATGAGGAATTTTGTGAATGTTTTCATTTCAAATTGACTCCCCGGGAGTCAATTCCCCACCGGAGAGATTGAAAAAAATTGTTTATATTGTTTGGAATTTTTAGCTGATTACAATTGGGACTCTTTATAGTGATTGTGGCACGCATAAAAATATATTCTTCGGTAGTACAGTGGTAGTATTTCCGCCTGTCACGCGGACGACCGGGGTTCAATTCCCCGCCGGAGAGATTTTTTTTTATTTCATAAATATTAATAGAAAGCCAAAAATTTTGTTGCAATTTTGTTTGCATGTTCATAAAAATTTTTCCGCGTCGACTTATCAACAATTTTCATCAACATTCGCCAATGACGTCGCGAACGACTGACGTATATGATGCACAGTATGGACAAAAATATTATAAAGTATAAAAAAAAATATGACAGTTCAGTATAGAAGTGACAAAATTATAGGATTAATATATCAACAGCAACAAAAACTTCAGAATAAAATACGTGATGTAGTATGGGGCAGGAGTGCTAGTACCGCCCAGCGGGTAAAACAGTTCACCAACTTATCTCCGCAACGCTTTGGCATCCAACAGCGGTGAATCTCCCATTCATTCGCTCGGATGGTAATCAAAGACTAATCGAATGCTTCATTCACGATATTTTTCAACTCATGAACTATTAAAATGTTTTATTAAATATTAGACAATGATGAGTTGACGTACTGAATATTTCAGTCACTCGTGAATACTCAGCTCCACACATACCCATAACCATCAATTAGAATTACCGTTAAATTTTGTACTAGTCAATTTGTTGATATTACTCTACAATTTTTAGTTATTAAATTAATCATCAATTAAAATCTTCAAATTTCGAATTATTTTATTCTATTATTTTTTCGAATTTCGAATTACTTTATTTTATTATTTTTCGCATTATTCTATATTATCGATTATTTAATTTATCTTCAGTCGGAAATTCATTTTGGGTTTGATTTCTAATCTTGAATGAATTCCTGAAAAAAAAAATATGAGAACTGGATTTGAGTACTATTGCCACTTCTACTGAGCTCTGTTCAACTCCCACAACTTCTGTTCAAAAATTCCATTAAATGCTCTACAAAACGAAGCCAGCAATGGTCAAAGCACGTAATTGTTCCAATATTCGCTCAACCCTTATTCAACCAGTTCATCAAAATCCTCTGCACACCATCAATCATCAAGCATCAACTCCAACGAGCAATTAGAATCAGATCACGATGTTTTTCAATACTCCCTAATAATCCACACACCCCCGTAATCCCTTCTGAACGCTAAGAATAATTCCATAAAGACGAGCGATGAAAGGGTTCGAGTCCTCCGCCAAAGGCTCATTCATCCCCGTCAGTGCTCAGCGATGCAGCCATGTCAGTGGAATTAGAATCCTCATTATCAGATAACCAGGCATCACCGATATTGAATAACGAATCTCAACCCTCAGATTTTGCTCCGTGATGCACGAATCCACGGACTGTTTACACATGAAAGAGATGCTTTGGTTCTGGAGCCCTGGGGGGATGGGCTGCTGGTGGGTGCTGTATAATAATGCCCGGGTGTGGTCGAGACTCAAGAGCACTATGGAGATCATGTTCATCTGTGGAACGAGGTTGCGCTTGTTGTGCCCCGCTGGCTTTTCCTTCATAAACAGAATTCCGTTGGCGTCTCCTCGAATAACATACGTGGTTCATCTACCATCATTTGGGTTGCACCCACTGTCATCAATTAGATTATTCTGTTATTGTTAGCACGATGATTCGTCAAAAGAAGGGATCGGTGAAGATTTTTGATAGGGGGCAGGATATTCAGTAAGTTTGGAGATGAATGCCAATCAGGTCATGGCTTTTGGTCATGCTACTTTCTCTGGGAGAAGTAGCGAGCTCCAGAAGTTGTTGAAATCGTCGAACTATTATCTTCGATCACCGTAAAGAAGCGATCAACAATCCTTTTCTACTTTTAGAATGACCAAAATCGGAAAACCCAGCGATGCAGGGCCCAACTCCCTCAGACGTCTCAAATTCCTTCCGGTCTCCAGCCAAATTGTCATTTCCACTTGGCATAACTCGTCTGAACCTATCCTTGTTTTACTTCCGTTTGAAGATACTCCCCTTCAGATTATCCTCTATGAATCATCTGGACGAAACCCCCTCCGTCCTCCTCAAATTATCGTAAAAGTCTCTCTCAACTTTATCTATCATTTACGGCTCCATGAAGCTTCTAAATTTTTTCTCAAATGGCCCGAGTGCATTTGCGCAAATGAGCTGTCTTATAAACTCCCTCCCGCCCCGCCAACTTTCCCTACCATCAGCTCTTTAATCGCGGCATTCTGCCGTAAAACTCTTCACCTGAGTCGTTCTTTTATTCCGCCCTATTCTGTCCTCATTTTTTCGCCTCCAGACTGCAATTCCTCCACCAAGTCACGAAGCAAAGGTGAGGATTTATGTGCGCATGAAGTTGGTGCTCAGTGCAGAGCCTAGAGAGGAGGAAGCGGTAGGAGAGGTAAAGCGTTGGGGTATAAAGGGAGGAAGAAATGTTGGAGGAAAGGAAAGGAGAGGAAGCTAGGCCAGTCCGTTTGGGGATAACGCGTTTGTCACATCCTCCAGGGCTGTGGAAAACTTGGATTTATCATCGCAGGCCCCGAGGTGTCTGCGAATCGGGTAGAAGGGGAGCTGCTTCATCCTGCAAGCTTTATGCTAACCTCATCCCTGCCTCCTCCTCGCGTCTGATCTCGGGGGAGTATTGATCACCTGCGATTCAACTGCGTTGTACGCATTTAATCATAATTTTGCGACGCTTTTTATTGCATTTGAGAAGAAATTACGGTGATTCGCGGCGGGGGGTTTGGATAGTTGGGGATTAGTCTCAATTTTGAATTTTGAGTAAGGTTACGCACAATGGCAAGGTCAAGTTGAGACCTTATTTTAAGATTGTAAAAGTCTTTGAGATCTTAATTTAAGCATTCTCAAAGGCTCAAGTTGAGACTTTAGAAGGTCTTATTTTGAGGCTGTGAAAGGTTTCAATTTGAGACTTGAAAGTATCAACAATATTTTTAAGTCTCAACTTGTGACATTTGAAAGTTTCGATTTGAAAAATTTGAAAATCTTAATTTGAGATCATAAGTCTCAAAATGAAGCATGTTGTTTTTTGAAATGACACTCTAGAGATGGAAAAAAGAGAGAATTCGCCAAGTATTCATTTCAAGAGCCGTCAAACCTTTTTCAATAGTAAGCATGTGACTTTATGGCGAAATGTAAGCTCCAAAACGTATGTATAATATATTTTTCACGACCCGTCAGAATGACGGAGGCGAAATGAGGGTTGAAACTGACAATCTGCCCCCGCATTATCGAAAAAACAAGCCATTTCGAAACGAGTTAGCGAGATTGATCCACTAACAGCAGTCACGGGGTTGGGGGGTGGCTCGATGGATTCCTGATGAGTCATTCGAGCGACTCGAAATTATCCCATTTCCCACAAACGACGCGTGGCCCGTTACCGTAAAGCGGTTCATAAACCCCACTAGTGTTGTTTATTCCCCATTTCTGTCTCTCTATGGAGAATCCCATTTTTGTTGTCTTCGTAAACTTCATGTCTTCTTTCCCAAGCGCGACCTTTAAGCTCGGTAATTGGGGGCACAAAAAATAAATAGAATAATTCAGTCAGGACTTTTCAACTTTTAACGTGCAGCTGAAAAATTCGTCATTTTGAACACTTTTAAAGATGATTTTTTCGTCGCAACAAAATCGCCAGTCGAAAATTTGAAAATTGCTAGTTTTTGTCTGTGATTATTAGATAGCCGAAACGAAAAACTACTATCCCTTGTTCCACATAAAACAAAAATTTTTCGGGAGCAAAATACGTATGAGAATATTGAATAACGAAGGAGTAGTGCTAGAAAAGACATTTCTTGCGTTTACAGAAAATGCAATTTTTTTTTAACTACTAAATCTATTTTTGCGACAAAAATTTTTCATTCCGGCGCACTCTCTGCATGTTTGGCACAAACAAATCCTTTTTTGTTAATTTTCAAAAAACCATTTTCTTGGCACAAGTAAGACTTGCTTGAGAGCTTTGTCATTTTTCTCTCAGTGTACAATTGTACATTTTCTAAATTTTTCCTCCCTGCACGAATTAAATGATCAAGGCTAAGAGCGGGACGACTCAAGGCCAGACGAATTGTTTCGATAAATGATTGATTATTGGCGTGGCGCGTGAACAATGCGCCATCGTGCGTTAATACGTACATTTGTAGGCGAATAGCAGGGCGATCAAGTGCGCTGACCGCGTGAATATTAAACGATGATGTAAATGATTCACGTCAACACGCGATGAGTATTATAGCGCTCGTGTTCGGTTTTTCTTGCCGTTGGTGGTCGTTTGTATTCTGTATTTGTCATGAGGATGTCTCCCGGGAGTTTTCGGTGCGGATGGTTAAGGTGGAGGTATTTGTTCATCGTGGGGATTCGTCCGGTGGAATTGTTTTTGGAGGTTTGTTATTAATTACGTGACAATTCCGTACTTTATTCAGTGCTGAACCTGAGAATTCACTGAACGTTTCAGATTTCCTCTTTCATTCCTATAAAAATTCCCGGAAAACCATTCCTCATTGCGGATTACGTGAATTATTGTTCCGTCATTTTTACTGAATATTTCTCTCCGTGTAAAAAATAATTTTAATAAATAACACAGGGGAGTCCCTGCGTCGCGTAATCAAGCAATAGATTTTTCAAAATTTCGAACGATCGGAATGCGCGGAGGAGACAGATCGATAGATGAGGATCGATGAGTGTTTCGCTACATCTGGAGAATCAAGTCTCGCGGCTGAAGGACGACGAGAGTGCGCCGGTGACCGGTGAGGCACGCGATGATATCCATGTATAGTGAGCATGTGAATATAATCGTGCCAATCGCCCGAAGAATCGGCGATTAGAGTTTTATTCACAGGTGAGAGTGTACAGCGATACTGGACGGACGGGGGAGAGGGGTGATGAGGTGGGATAAAAGGACTCCGGGGCACATATCAACGGCGGTGGTCCCGAGCATCCGACAACAAATCCTCGTTAGCCCCATACGGATTAATAGCGCCTGTCGCACTACTAGATCGTCCATTTCTCATTAGTAGAGACAACGGTGGTATCCATGATTATTCAGTGCGATGCGCGGGGATTATTGCATTCATCAGGAGAAATTTCACAGCGAAAAAA